CGGCTGACTACAGGAAGCCCGAGGCAGAGTTGCTCTGCCCCAGGCTTCCTGGAATCAGCCGCTGATCAGTTTCAGCAGCAGCTGAGTTGGGGACACCTGGGTTTCTTAAGCTGAATCTGTATGTAAATCAGAACTGGCTTCCAGATTCAGCCGTGGTTGAAACTGATCAGTTTCAGCAGCGGCTGACGCCAGATCCGACTTACATACAGATTCAACTTAAGAACAAACCTACAGTCCCTATCTTGTACGTAACCCAGGGACTGCCTGTAATTGAATTAAATCTTTCCTGAAGGGGCAGTATGGAAAAAGTACTTGAGGAGGCCTTCTCTAGTGTCAATTGGACAATATATCTTTTTCTTCCTGTCCTGAACTATATAAACCTAGGAGAATGGAGTACGAAGAGAGGATAAATATTCCCTATATATTCCTTACCTATTTCACAGTCCTATGTTGAAAGGACTATGTAATGATTGTAAAGCATTTTGAGATTCTTGGATAGGAGGAGGTATACAAGTGCAAATAATTATTATTTTTATCAATGTAAAATATGATTCTTTGCATGAAAATCACTACAAAACTATACTGTTTTGATGCTAATCCTGATTTGAAAAAAACCTCCCCACCCTATTATTGCTCAAAAGCTTCAGAGGGGTAGCCAAGTTAGTCTGTAACTGGAAAAACTTAAACAATGAATGGCTTAGCAGCGCCTTACAGACTAACAAAATATGTAGACGGTATCATGAGCTTTTGTGGACACGTTGTATGGCTATGTTTTATGGGGTAGGTAATAGGCTTCCAAAAAAAACCCTCTCTAATCTCCCAAATTCAAAACAAATATCTCTTTGGATAAAGTGTTTCTTCTAGTCCCAATAAGAAGATGACTCATGTTCAAAGCTGGAATATGTGTAAATTCCATTCATTCCTCATTTTACTTTTCCAAAGCTAAATTAAACGGGCCTTAGAAAAGACAGATGTGAGACATGTTACAACTTCTTTACAACTACAAATGCCCTTTTCACAGGAAGTTTTCATTGGTTCTGTCCATGAGAATAACATTAAATAGAAAGAGATGTTAAATTTATGTTCAATAAACATCTAGATTAGCTATTGGCACTCAAACTAACAAAATGCACTCCAGGAGTTGGTTTGTAAACTCAAAATTTCACATACAATATACATAAGCTGAAACCTGCACTAAGCACACACTCTCCAGTAGAGCTAGTAGTGCCTTGTACTGATTTAAGCAACTGCTCTAAAGTTGCCTGAAGGCTTACTGTATAATCTAAGATCTTCTCTACTGAGCATATGAATTTTCATCTCCTTGTGTGTTCACTGTGGCAGGGTTATCTACCACTGGTGATGAAAGACAGCCCAAAGAGAGAGAGAGAGCATAAAAGGGTTAATAACAAAGAGTATCATAATTTTAAAGCCCCTTCTAAACCTTATCTGAGGCAGCACTCCACAGGGTAAGATAGGGAATGAAAAACCAAATGAAAAAAAGCTCTCCTTTCTCTTTCCTTTACATTACCAAAAGTAGACACCTGGGCTTCTTACCCCAGTGGAGTGTTTTTTGTTTTTGTGTTTTAAGTTTTGTTGATTTGCTCCATGAGAAGCCAGCAGTGCTTATCTGTGGACATATACACACATAGCCAATCAAAAGCAGTGAGGGTGAAGCTAATTTATAGTATTTCACAGCATCACATGTTGGCCACAATGAAGTATTGCAGCACCCCATTGAGAAGAATTGGGAAACTGCCAAATACTTGTATGGTTGGCTAGAAGATTAGGACCTTTGAGTTGCTGTTCTGTGGGAAGCCATTGTAGTGACAGGAATGCTTGCATGAAATGTTTACAATAGCCTGTTTCACTAATGCATGGTGAACGGCATGCTGTACCAGCTGCAGTGTGTGCAGACCTCTAGTTTTCAGCCTGGTGTATAGTGCATTCTAGTAGTCAAGCTTGGAGGTCACACATAGATGGATTACCATTCTCTGTCTTGCGCTGTTAAGGAGAACATGCAAGCCTATGTGCATTTCAAACATAATTCACCTAAATCCCTTGTGCCTGTTATCATTTTTCCATATTCTGGAAAATTCCAATTCATTTCTAAGAGCAGATTTCTTTTAAATATTTTGTACCTTAGATTTTGATGTTCTGTATGCCATCCTATCTGGCAACACCTGCTTCAAACCTTCCTTCTCTTACCTGTCAGTACATCATTTCATGCTTCACTAAGGTGTGCAAATTGCAAAACCATCTGTTCATTACTCATGTAGTTATGTAAAATATGAATGAAATATTTCACATCTAAAAGAGTCATTGTCAACTGAATCCAGCTTGTGCAACGCTTTGGATCTAAAGTCTAGTTATTTCCTTCATGGTCCTTTATCTCTGTACAGTACCTATTTAACCAAAGGCACACTTTGCAATTTTGAATCTTGTGTCTCCCTCCCAGTTCATGCCATATTTTCCCATTTTAAAATAGTTGGGGCGGAGGCTTTGCTCTGGTGTGAGATCACATGTCCTAGTGTGGGAGCAAGATTAACTTGCTCTACCTTACAGCCCCTTGAGAGATCTGACACACATTGCAGACATTTTCATTGACAACTTTTTTATAATTTTAATTGAAGAAGTGTTAAATCTCCCTTTCCCCTCAAGCTCTGCTTCCCACTTCCCTTATCTGTCTGAAGGAGTTGTACCTTTTTGAAGCCACTCCCATCATTGTTGCATATATCACTTAGTCCTGGTTTCTACAGCAGCAGGTTAATATCGTTTTCTGTGAGAATTAAATGCTCAGCAAGAATATTCCTGGCTTATTTTACAGCTACAGGGCCCAGACATATGCACTGATAGAGACGTGATAATATTCATCACACATGATTGAATCCTTAGTGGCCCCATATATTTGATTGTAGTAAATGACAGCAGAAAAGAAGAGGGGAGTAGTTTGGCTAAGCAGTGCCACTAAGAATCAGGACCTCATTAATTGTCTCAGAATGATCTGCATGCACTAATTGGATTATTTTTCTTAAGAGGTACAAGATATGGACTCTAGCCAAGATTCTCAGCTGGTGTATATCAATATGGCTTCCTTGATTTGAGAGGAATGATTCTGATTTATGGCAGCTGAGAACCAGCCTCTCTGATTTTGGAGAAAAGTAAACATTTCATGAATGAAGAAAAATATGATCATCCTTACAGATGAAAGAATCAGAATGCTGTGGAATTTATAATTTTATATGTAAAGACCCATTAAATGTTTAGAAGAAAAACGAAGAAATTCATATCACTTCACTATGTTATTCCATGATTAGGCAGTAACTTCTGCAAATATTCTTAATAATAGTAATACGGAATACTTTAAAAATTGAGCAGTGATTCCATTTCCCCAGTGTTGAGGGTGCTAACAACTGCTGTACCTTAATATTGATTCATATACTATGTATCTTAATTATCTTTGTAGCTTTGATTATCTTGAACTTGGCAAATTGTATTTTTAGGCACAAAGCTCTGTGGCAAGTGAAACTTTTTTTGGGACATCTGGAGATGCACATGCTTGGAAATCTACAATGAACTTGGTGGAATGGGAACCTGTAACATAAAGATATGACGCTGTTTGTAGTTTTTGTGCTTTGCTGGAGTAAGCTTTCACTCATCTTGAAAACATAGGCACGCTATGCCCTATAGTCTAATAAGTCAGGCTAATCCTGGAAACTTAACTTTTACTCAGTGGGCTTTTCAGGAATTGGCTCTCAATAAGTGAAATGTGCAGCTGCATACTGATATCACATTTTAAAACTGCACATGAGGGGCAACTTGGTCATGGTATATATATTTTTTTACTTTCATGTTGTCTGACAGTGAGGAATGGGATAATTATGTTCTAAAATCTGAACAGTACACATAACTATATATGTAGCATGATGTGGACAAGCCTTTGGAAAAATATAAACTGATTTGAAAGAAACCAGTGGTTTGGTTAACTCTGAGTATGTGAGTAATCCCATTGACTGCTGTGGGATTGCAAATATTTATGGGGAGTGATTTTCAAATGTGAGGGCCAACATAGGAGACAGTGGGATGATACTTAACTTTGGTATTTCCAGACTCCAGTGCTTATCTATGCATTTCTTGCTAAAAATTAACATCATTTTTATACAGAACTAGAAGACATACCTAGCGTAGCCCACGTCCTTCAAGATCTTGGTGGGTGTGGAAAGCTCAGGGCAAGAGGGGCCAGTGAAGGCCCCCTCCCTCTCTACTGGCCCCTCCCAGGGAGAGAGGCTGAGGGGGCTCCCAACCTTATGGTCTCCTGGGAAGGGGGGCTGACAGGGAGTCCTTCCCCCAGAACCCTTCCCATGGCGGTGAGGAGAGCCGGCGGGGCGGGGCTAGTAGGGGCTTTCTCCTTACCCCCTGCCCTCTCCCAGGATGCGGGGAATGGCAGGTGCTTTCTCCTTTTCCCCCATCAATCCTAGGGTAGGGGACCCAGCTGGGGCTTTCTCCTTAGCCTCCCCCTCCCACCCTACTCTTTAGAGGAGAGAGGTGATTTTTCCCTTTCCCCTCCTGGGATGAGAGGTGGTCAGTGGAGGCTGTCTCCTGCGCAGGGGGGCCCCACTTACCCAGTCAGATGGCAGGCGAGATGGTGAGCCCTGTCCCCAGCTGGCCACTCTCTTGGTGGTGCAGCTGCCCACGTGGTTACTTTACAGTAGAGCTTTCTCCCCGCACTCGCTGCCACCAGCAGTAACTAGGAATATATCCTCCCTTCAAACAGCCCCTCCCTCTCCATGTCTGGAAAATAGTCCCTGTCCCTGCACTTCCCATTTTCTTGGCACAACCAAAACCTGATCTTGCTTTACGTGAGGAGGAGAGGAAGCAGAATACCACATGTGGTGGTCCTAGCTCTTACTGTTTGGTGGCGTTCTTGAACAAATGGACTCATGGACAGACAGACGCACATTTCTAAAATATACAGACAGATAATGTATAACAAGGATAACAGCTGCACAACATTTGCTAGACTGGCCTGTAATTTAAGACAGAATTGCTGCTTTTTAACTTACCAGTTTGTAGCCATCTGGAATACATCTTTTGCCATCAGGTACAAACAAAAAGCTATTCCTCAGCCCCTATGTTCTGTAGCCTCAAGTGATCCTTGTTATGGGAAATTAACCCTTAAGTCACTGAGCTTCTCAGTCTAACCAATTATAGTGGGAGTTAATATCAGTCTGCAGGTTTATGCTCTGTGATTTGCAGGTTGATACAATGTGAGCTTTGTTGGGCCAGCTCTGATATTACAAAATTATTCCAGTTACAGAAAGCTGGAAAGCTGCTAGTGTTTGCTTTGCTAAACAAAGCAAACTGTAAGTCAGATTATGGCATTCTAACAGGTGGTGGTAGGGGGGAAAGCTGGTTTAACATAGCTCTTTTTATTCACCCTGGTATAGTTCAGAAATAATAAAAGCTGTTGTAGAGAGTAAACTCTTTCTTAATACAAGCCTTGTGTGGAACCTTCTTTCAAACATGAGTGTTGTTTAACAATATGAATCGCCAGCATGAGAGCTGTGCTGAGCAAGGGTGGCTTTCCATTAAGAAAATAACTTTGCTGGCTTTATTAATGTTTGTTTAATTTATAGTGTTACAGTCATTGTTCTTAAATACTCTTATCCATTTGCTTTATCTCCTAAGAATGTCTGTATCGGGAGGGCAGGGGGGTAGTGGACTGGAATTTTGAGCCTCTTCTTCTTTGAGCCTGTCCCTGTTCATGAGAGAAAAGCTCTTTGCCTTTCTCAAACATTCCAACCCCATGCCTGCATCTCACTGCAGGTGTACATTTTTTTGAATGTGGCTTTTCTAGTTTCTTGGAAGACATTTGTGAGAGGGGAATAAAGGGAGGGAGAAGAAGGATTCCTTGTCTCCTTAACAAGGACAGAACATTATGACCTTTTAAAATTTTAGACAGGAGTCTATTTTAATCCCTTTAATGCCTTGGGACATTCTACATACCTCCAGTTAAAGGGAAACGTGTGACTCTAGAGCCATGCATTGAATGTTTTGCCCAGACAGTAGAATTCAACAGGATCATTTTTACATGGACTAGCCTGGGGTGTGGGCACAGCTGTGGCATGGGAGAAATCTAGTATGTGTTTTTACAAAATGACTTTGTTGTTTTATTTTGAAGAGGCTTGTACATTTTCTCTGAGCAAGCAGTCTGGGATGTATATTTGTGGCTCCAATTATTCTTAGTTTTCTATTAAAGGATCTGGCTTTGCAGCCCATTTCACATGCATAGTCACAGTAATGTACATGTACTCTCCATACTCCACCCCCGAAATCTCAAACAGTGGAAGAATAGCCAAACCTTAAAACTTGATGTTGTCTGACAATGAAGAATGACATAGTCATATTCTAAAATCTGGACCAGATTCTGATCCCAGTTGTACTGGAGTAACTCTCTTGGGATTGTTAGTTATTCAGGATTTACACTGATATAAAGTGAGATCAGAATCTGATGCAATGACCACAGAAGTTTTTTGGATGATATTTAGTTGAATTTATCGATTCAAGCTATATACATGCAAACTGTATTCACTAAAATGATACATTGTTTAATTTACACCATAGTGATGGGATTAGTTCAATTCCTCAATACTTACAGCTCCAAAATTCTTTGAGAGATTTCTAGTAATACACTGTACAGACTCACTATTGCATAGTGTAGAAAAGAATGTTGATCAATGGGTTTTCCATGTGTTAAATATACAGTGGGATTCAAGTCTCAATGATCATTTGGCTCTGGGGGGGAAAAAGTTACTTTCCAAAACACTTCGCTGTAGATGCTGATATTGTTCACATCTGACTGACTCTAGTTGGTGAGGCTGCGAAGACGAGGTTGCAGGTAGTTTTTGACATTTTTTTTTTCCTTTACCTGGATAGGAAAATTTGTTTCACCATTTGAACTGTTGTCCATCTGCAAGAAAAGAATGTTATAACCTGTGGGACTCCCAGCTGGATTTAGTTATTATAATCCGATGAACCAGTGTAGGTATTAAAATATTGAGTAGAACATGTTCTGCTCTTGCTTTAGTGCTTATGCCTTATTTCAGATATTCAGGTTGTTGTTAAAATCGAATAAATATACTCTGCACTGTGCAAACCCAAAATCAGGTTTCCTGTTCCAAAGAGTTTACAATCTGAGGTAGATTACTAGTAGTAATAGTATAGTAACACCTCAAAAGGATAGTCAAACACTGGAATAAATTGCCCAGGGAGGTTGTGGAATCCCCATCTCTGGAGATATTTAAGACTAGGTTAGATAAATGTCTATCAGGGATGGTCTAGACCGTATTTGGTCCTGCCATGGGGGCAGGGGACTGGACTCTGACCTCTCGAGGTCCCTTCCAGTCCTAGTGTTCTATGATTAAGTAAGATGAGGGCCTCATTGTGCCAAATGCTGTACAAACACATAGTAAGAGACCACCCCTTCCATGAAAATCTTATAATCTATGTAGATCAGACAGAATGAGGTAAGGAAAATCAAAGCAAATATGGTAAAGTGACTTGCCCTTGGGCACACAGTCAGGGAATAAAGGTCAGAGGCAAATCTGGGAATAAAATCTTTCTCTCTTGAGTATCAGTCCAGTGACCCATCTTTTGGACCATTTTGCCTTAAAAGAAGGGACGAGATTGAAGAGATAATGTTAGTGAAGTAAGAGTAAGATGAAGTTATGCCTGGCTGCAATAACCCTGAGAAAGGGCTGTGAAGACACTTGACAGTTAGAAATTGCTTCAGGCATAGGAGGCAGCATGATAGAAAGTACAAAGCCAGAAGTGTGATGTAAGGAGATTTAGGAAACAAGAAAGAAAAAGGATTGGGCAGGAAATTCAGCAGCATCAGCACCACATATTGAATTGAGAATCCAGAATCCCAATCAATATAGGGGTTGTAAAAGTACCAAGAATCATAAACGAATAGTAGCATTGCAGAGATAGTAGTGACTTTAGTCTTAGGCCTATTTTGTTTCAGTGGTTATTTCGTGACTAATTTATGTGTATGTGTTGCTGCTGTAGCTGCTGTTGAACAGACCACCTGAAACATTCCAGTGAGGGGGAAAAAAGAGCTCTATGTAGCTTGAAAGCTTGTCTCTTTCACCCGCTTGAACTCTTGTTCCCAGATCACAGTTGGTGCTGGGAAGTCTTTACTGTTAGACCAGATTGAGGTGAAAATACAGGGCTGGGAGAAAACAGTCCTCAAAGAAGAGACTCGGACCAGAATATCTTAAATTGATTCTGAAGCCACATGCCAAAATTGAATGGATTTTTTTTTTAGCTGCAACAAACACCTATCCACATTTTTGTGAACGAGGCAAATCAAATTTCGTTAGGCTCCTACTGGTGTCTTCTACACATCTGTAACTCTGGGTTCCCTTTGTTGCAATAGACAGTCATAGCTCTTCCTCTGCAGCAAGGACCTGGATTCGAGTGAGGGTGGAGATCACAGCTGGCTCTGGCACAGGGTTGAGAGGCAGTGATGGGTAGCTGTGGGAAATTCTGCATAGGTGTTGCTCATGTTACACTTACACTGTGACTGGAAGACTTCATTTTCTATCAATGTTTCACTTTTCCTGGGCATCATATTTAATATTTGGAATAATCCAATTTCAGCTCTTCAGAACTACTTCACAATATGAAGAAGAAACAGAGAACCCAATTGCAGAATGAACAGACTCTTTGGCTACCAGTTTTGTCAGCTGAGGTGTAAAAATTCCTATTTCCCCCTTACCTGATGTTTAAAGTATGTTAGTCTGTTTGATGTTTTCCCTGTAAGAAATGTCACTGGAACAGCACTTGCTCCTCTTTTATAGATCTCCATTTTTAAAATACATTGTAGAGGATAGTAAAAAAAGCCCCACAAAAAAACAGAATATGAACAATTTGAAAGTGAGAGTTGAGGTTGTAAAAAAACACAGGTCAGGATTTTGACAAGTTGGCATATCTCCTTCCATATCTATAACCTTATCACTGATGAAAGATTTTTTTCCCCCTAGACAGTCCCCTGATTTATGGCAGACTTTTTATACATCCTATTTTGATGCATAGCTCATCCTTAAACAGAGGATGGGACTGTGATTAATAGACTTCAGTGGCTGTGCTGCAATTTACATAGGATTAGTATTTTAGGAGAACAGTGTGTGAGATTTAAGTAGGAGTAGGATACATCGCAGCGGTTTGTCCTTCGCTGTCAGTGAAGCAATCATAAGTTCATTTCTTTAAAGAAGCTCTAGGCCAAATGTCAAGAAAAATTAAATCAAGCAGTGATGTAGTCCCATGGGGAACATGTATTTCAATTGTGAAGTATTCATGGATGTAATCTGTCATCCTGTAGGTTGTGACTTTTGGGTTAATTTTCAGGCAGTTTGGCCTTGTAACTGCTACTTGTTAAGAAATTTGGCTATGATAAAAGATCCTTCCTTGTTTCCTTCCGTCCAGTTCGTCCTAGATTTTATAGGAATAGACAAATCCTCTGTGATACAGCATCTTTAGTGGAGGGACATCTGCCCTGTCAATCACTGAGCAAAGACCCTAGAATCTTTGAGAACTTTGGCTTCTGAAGAATCACATTGGATGAGGCTTATCCAGATTTGGAAAATGAGGTTCCTTTTATGGAGTATTACAAGCATCACCACTATTTATATACATAAGCTAAGGAGGGAACACTAAAGGCATTTTGGCTTTACGGTTGCAGGATCCTGTACAAGAAGAGGAGGAAGTGGCACTTACACATTGCTTGATCTTTGGGCTAGAACTGGCCATAGTAGAAAGACAGAATTTGTAGCAAAATTTC